CCCACGACTTGTATTGTTATTTGATTAACTAACACACACACACACACACACACACACAATCAGCCTACCTCCCATTTGCTGAGGGAGAAGGACCAATTTTTCTGAGTTTTCATTTACTGAGCGTGAGAGCAAAGTCTCTTAAGCAGAATTTCGCCTGGCTTCGTGCATGGTTTTTTAAATTAGATTTCTGCTTTGTGTCCATAGAAATATTCTCCTGTTAGAAGAGAGGAAGTGGAGACACAGATATTCTGCTGAGATATTGGTGTCATCATATTTGAGTTGGAAAGGACTTAAGACAGCATAGAGTCGTAAATTTTTATGGGTGAGAATCCATGATAGTGTAACTTGGACAAGAACCTGGGTCTCCAGCCATTGTGCCCAAGTGGGTGAAGAGGCAATTGGGTGGGGGATGGCAGGGATCCTCCTTGCTTGAGTTCCAGGGTCTTGCTAGTTTTCATTGCTCAGCTGCCTTTAGTTTATGTCCATGTGGCCTCTCATGGGAAGGTCACTCTGTCCTCATAGATTGAGTTTCTAATCAGCATAAAGCTCTGGACCCACTCATATTTCCCAGAGTTTTTCAGCTGACCTGCTGACACTTTATATAAATGAGAACTAAAAAAACTACTGGATATAAAATCCTTATTGTTATCGTTTGCCCTCGAGTTCCATAGGAATGGGGTGCTGTCTCCGGCTGTCTAAAGCGAGATCTGAACAAAGATAAGGTGATAGGCTGTGCTGCTGGACCCTCCCCAGTCGAATGGAATTTCCACTTTAGTTTTTAGAATCAGGCAGATGAGTTCAAATCTTGCCTTTACCAGTTATTAGCTTTGTGAACTTGGGGAAGAAACTTTACTTTTTTGGGGTCTAATTTTCTTTATCTGTAAATAAGTTCAGTATTTATTTTAGGGTATTTGTTTTAGAATTGAATGAGTTACTTCCCTCATTTATTCCTAAAATACTGATCACATGGCTCTATGCTGGTGCCTTAGTAGTTGAATACTAAGGGACTCATCAGTGAGAATGAGGATGTGGCACCCCGTATCTTAGAGCTGATATTCCAGGATATGCTTGAAAGACTGGATTGCAGTGGATTTTTAGTAAATGTCCATTCCTTTCCTAATCCCCACTGATTGTGTATATATATGTATACTAATATATGAACAATTTTTTATTGCAATTTAAATCTCTTTGTACTATTTAAAATATGTAGCTATAACAAAAATAAATAAAATGATTTGACATAT